TCGTGTTGTTTTGCTTTGACTATTATACAGGTGATCATCAGCGTGAGGCTGAGGATGTTGGTGATGAAGCTTAGGCTTCTATGTTGGGTTTTGCTCTGATAGGACATGTGACATCGAGACATAGATAGGATTAGTTTAAGATGTTCTTATTAAATTATTTTGGAAAATTCAGTTTTATTTCTTTGTAATTTTACTGGCATGTTATTTGGATTAAGTTTATGAATGTGAACTCTTTCCCCTTACGTGGTTGGAAATTTTATTTTTATTGATTTTTTTTTATAACTACTGTATATGTATGTTGGGGTAGAGGGTGTCACATTACTTGGTTGGCCTTCATCATCCTAAGTGAAGTGAGCTAGCCTAAAGGAGCTACACCACAAAACATCATCCCATTTCTCTCCTTCATTTTGTGCGTCACCCTTCACCTTCCCAAACACCAAATCCTCCACTTCCATACCCTTGAAGAGATCATCCTTCACATCATATCAACCTTGGAGAAGAGAAGGAATCAACCACTATCCCTCATGGAGAAGTTGGTTCCATCAAGACAAGTCACCCATGAAGACAATCATGGCTCTTGATACCACATGATGGGCTCCTTCCTTCCATGGTGTGCTCTTTGGCTTCCAAGGAGGATCTCCCTCTTTATCCACAGTCTAGGAAGAAGGATGATGGCTAGATGTTCCTTAAGGGTGGTGGAAAAATAATATTGAAGGGGTGGAGGTGAAGGTAGGAAGGTAGAAGGTGTTTATGGTGCTCTTGGCTAGCTCTCTCCACCAAGGAATGGTGGAGGCCACTCAAGGGAACTCAAACTCTCGAGAGGAGAGGAGAATGGGCATGAGAACCCTAAGAGACTAAGGAAAGCTTTTTGAGGCACAGGGCTCACTCAAAATGCATATATTCCCAAAGTGGGAACAAGATGGAGGGACTAGAGTACTTATAGAGAGAGAGGAGGGCATCTAGGGTTTCTTGGGAGAATTTGGCCGAACATTTCAAGACCAAATGCACCTTAAATGAACCCTATATGCAGCCCAAATGAAATGGCTCTAATGTCTCCAAAAAGTCTACAGTACCCTTAGTCCTAAAAAATGAAAGAAATGGACTTTTGACCTCAAAAGTCAAGGTTAAGTCCTAAATAAATCCTAAGACTAATTTTGCCCCATAATACATGTAGACACCCAATTTCATCCGGGCTCACAAAAGCAATGAAATAGAGTCTATTATCAAGGAAAGGAGCTCCCGAAGCATGGAAACAACAAGACATACATCAAAACACCAAAGTCTAAATAAGTTGGTTTTAGTAGCCTAGAACGGGCTGTTCCAAGACCGTAACGGGCTATTCCCAAAACGGAAAAGCCCGTTCCAGAACAAGTTGTTATAAGCAAGACTTGAACCCAGAACGGGCCCTTCTGCTTTAGGAACGGGCCGTTCCAGATTCTTATTTTACCTATAACAGACTTGCCCAGAACGGGCCGTTCTAAATCAAGAACGGGTCGTTCCAAATCATCAAATAGGCCTAAAACCCTAGTTTGGAACGGGCCATTCCAGAATAGCTTGTTGTAAGTAAAATTCGAAACTAGAACGGGCCATTCCACTTTTGGAACGGGCCGTTCCATATTCTTATTTTACCCATAACGGACTAGCCTAGAACAGGCCGTTTCGAATCCGGAACGGGCCATTCTGGCCGTCAAGGATGAAGATCCCTAAAATCATGGAGAAAAGTAGATAAAGTCACTGTTACTATACTACGATGACATTGCTTTTGCAAGCTTCGTTTGGTGTGGAAAGATGATAAGTAACTTCTTTGATCAAATAAAAGGTATCTTTCTGTGAAATGCATTTAATATTTGTATTAAATGAGTCAACGGTTACCTATCATCATAAGGAAATATGATGAAAACAGACAAAGCAAACTTGTGAGTTAGACTCAAAGTATTACAATAGTCATCTTCTACAAGCTACCATATAAGAAGATTTGAAGCTCAAGTAAGAGAAAAGGGCACGATACAAGAGAACACATAGATACACTTGTACAGAAAACATATACTCTTTGTAAATTGTGACACCCTCTACCCTAACATTAATACACAATAAATGTAAACAATAATTTTTTTTCTTTTTGAGTAAATAAAATCTTTCATAGTTTGATAACATCTTTCATGTATAAAACAAATGTCTCAAATATCATAACATAGAAGGTTCACATTCGTAACTCATAAACCATAAATAAAATCAACATGTAAGTATCAAAACTTAAAAAATCATAAAAAATAATAAAGGAAATATAGATTAATTCCAGTAAAGGTGGCAGTGCCTCCTAGTTAGGAATTAATTTATAACTTCCAAATCATGTAATAAAAATAATATGACAAAGATGCACATTTTAGTCTTTTATCAAGAACGTTCAAAATTACAAAAGAAAAGAAAACTAAGGCTTTTAAATCAATAACATCCTAAACTAAGCCTACCTATGCCCGATGTCACATCCTATCAAAGCATGCCCAACTGAAGCCTTAAGCCTCATCACCAACATTCTCATGATGATGATCACCTGCAACATAATTTAAACATATACAAGAACAACAAGGGAGTGAGAAACATCTCATACAAGCACAATCACATTAATCAAGTGCAAATTCAAATTTCACATACAACAATAACACATGCATAGTCATTCATCATGCAATGATGTCATGGATTTGACTCATAGATGCATGCATGTGGCACCAATCACGTGTCTCGTAATCACATTTCTCATCATATCATCATGTTACGTCGTGGGCGACCCAAGGTACACCTTGTTAGCATGTTACATCGTAGGTGACCCAAGGTACACCTTGTTAGCATGTTACGTTGTGGGTGACCCTAAGGTACACCTTGTTAGCATGTTACATCGTGGGTGACCCTAAGGTACACCTTGTTAGCATGTTACGTCATGGGTGACCCTAAGGTACACCTGCTGACTGGCTTGCTGCTGTCCACCACCACGACTATTGCTGCCTCCAGTCGTACCCCCACGATTGGTGCTGCCCTTTCCGCCACCACAACCACCATTATTGCGACGATTTTTCCCTCTATTATTGTTGTGATTTTGGCTACTCTTCCCACCATTATTGCGGTTCGAAGAGGGATAATCAGAAACATCAGGAGAGCCATCCGAGTCACGAGCAATCATGGCGGATGACGAGTTCTGTGCTACCTTTTTGGCAAGGCCGACCTATTTAAGAGTGAGCATCGAACGGGCTTGATAAAATTGGGGCAAGTGATCACTTTGGCGAATAAGGGTGGCCACACTGTTGTAGGGCTTGGTGAGACTAGAACTAGTTGAAGAACAAGTCTGTTGTTGTCGACGAGAAAGCCGACATGCTTGAGTTGATCCGAAAGAGATTTGAGATGTTGACAATATGCAAAGACATTTGGAAAATCTGCCATGTCTGTGTGAGTGAAGTCATACTCAAGGGTGACGGCATGAGAGTGTTTGTTATTCTGGAATATGTCACGCAATCTATTCCACGCCTTTATTGTCATGGTGTCAAGTTCAAGAATGATATGTAAAAGATCATGAGAAATAGTGGCATAAATCCACTGAAGAACGGTAGCGTCAAGGGTCGACCATAGTTCTTTCTCCTCCTCTGTCTGAGGAATTTTCTCCTTGCCTTTTGTTGGAGGAATAATATGATCAATTGCTTTATGGGATCGTGCGTGAATTTTGAAGAGTTTCACCCATGTCGTGTATTGCACGTTTTCCATCTCAAGAGTGATGGGAACGTGGTTCCTGGTGTTGGGACAGCAAGAGCGGGTGAAAGGAAGATTTTGAGTCAGACATAGAGGTTGATAGGATGATGAATAAGACAAAGAAGCAAGGGCAAATGGTGCTAGGGTTGTGAGCGAAAGTCAGAGAAAAAGTGAAGGATCTTTCCCTAGGAAATCTGATACCATAAAAGAGAATAATTCCTTGATTCATTCCATTAGAATCATCTATTTATATACACATTATATATAGTATAATTTGGCTAGAATTAGGAAATAAATTAGCTATAAAAAAGGAACTAAATATACGTTTAACAGATATTATATTAAATCAGAATATATTATCATATATTCTAATAGTCACTATTATTGCTACACTACGATGACATTGCTTTTGCAAGCTTCGTTTGGTGTGGAAAGATGATAAGTAACTTCTTTGATCAAATAAGAGGTATCATTCGGTGAAATACATTGGAACGGTTTTTTGAAATTATCAAACCATCCATGACTCTCCAGGGGGCAACCTCCATCTATCTCTCTGTGTATGAATCACGAACTCGATGCCCGGGCCTTCGAGCTTTGTTAAAGGGGTACGTGTAAGTTGAAGTACTGTTTTAAATGCCATAGAACTCTTTCGTTTCTCTTCTCCCTTTAAATATTCACTCTAGGAATCATCTATCAACCCTTAACAAACAAAATGTATTTGCGACAAAGATGTTACTCAATAATAGCATGGAAAGGATAACAAAGGAATAATCAAGAATTCAAACATGACTAGGGTTTAATAAAAATAGAGCGTTCCACACAAACGCTGCAAAAATGAAAGCCCGGCAGGAAACCCACTAAGGGGGCTGCGCAAAAGTTAGGGCAAGATCTGCTAAGCAACCCACAATCAAAAAGGGTAACCTAGGCAAAAGTAAGGATCAAAAGAAAATGTTCGCTAGGGAACACATCTCAAGTAACCTAGGCAAAAGTTAGGACGTCAAAACAGAGACCTGAGTTGAAAACCAAAAGGCGGCTCAAGGGATCATCTAAACAAAGCACAACCCCAAGTCATCACTCCACTTTCCAAAAAGGCTAAAACACAATGATATCTTCTTTGTAGCAAATATGCTTTGTTGAATAGCCTTAAACACTAAAGCCCACCCTGGCTAACCATTCATCTAAAAAACCCTTTTGGAAAAAACATAAATTCTAACAACCCTTCTGAAAAAATAAAAACATCTCTTCTTTCTTTTCTCTTAACCCTTATGGCATTAAAATGGTACCAAAAATATACACGGAGAATGCACAGTGAATACTCACAGAGGAAAAATTGAGATGTCCCCGAACAGAGTTGGTAGACGCTTGACTACACATCGACTGGATAATCAATGAGCCACTAAAAGCTTGGGTTCAAAGGAACACATCTCGACAATAATCAAAAATGGCATGGATAAAAAGGAATCGTCATCATTAACCTTAATGCGTACATGTTAATTTCCCGACATAAAGAAAAGGAATTGCAATGGCATGGAACAAACACATGAGCATAAATTGCATCGCATGCATATGAGGTAGGGGCATATGAAAGGGCGTTACTGAAAAAAAGGGATAAATAATAAAATCATTCCTGTCTTGCATTTTCATTGCATCCATACATCCATGCATTCTACTTCCTATGGGTCAAAGGAGTCATCAGCACAAGGAACTCGTAAAAGCTAAATAGCCAAGCATGAGCCGAATGGTGTCCAATGGCAACCCTAAGTGATTCTATGTGCCCACTGAGCAAAGACATATCAACAGTGGAATAGAATGGAGTCAACCAAATAAACAAGTATGTAAGTAGAAAGAGGCCATCATGCCTCACTTCTCAATTAAATGAAGGATGATTCAAGAGAATGCCAAGAACATGAATGGTTTCCTTACCAAAGCTAGGAGTGGCTTCCAAAATAATACTTATCGATAAAGATTCAGCGAATAACATAATGGGAATAGATCCCTCCACCAATGATGACAATAAAGAGCAAAAAACATGAGAAAAGGGCAAGCTTCGTAAATGTTGAAAAAAGACGAAGCATTTAAAAAAATAGCAAAAAAGGCAAGCTTCAAACATGAAAGAGCTGAAGCTAAACAAAAATGAAATTCAAAAAAAAAATATACCACAAGCAAACTCCTGGAAAGGCATCAAAATACTCACATGGCAGGGGCAACACCAGAATCCTTCTCAACCATCTACTCCTTTGCCCGCCGGCACAAGGGCACCACCTACTAACAATCCTCGTCTTCATCAGACGTCCTCCCCAAAGAAAAGGGGTAATCACATCATCATCATCAGCAGACGGCCTGGAGAGGCTATGAAAATACTACGGCCTGGAGAGGCTATGAAAATACTACGGACTGGAGAGGCTATGAAAATACTACGACCTACAGAGGCTATGAAAATACTACTGCCTGTAGAGGCCAGAAAAATACTACAGCCTGAAGAGGATACGAAAATACTATGGCCTGAAGAGGCTACGAAAATACTACGGCCTAGAGAGGCTATGAAAATACTACAGCCTGGAGAGGCTATAAAAATACTACGGACTGGAGAGGCTATGAAAATACTACGGCCTGGAGAGGCTATGAAAATACTACGGCCTGGAGAGGCTATGAAAATACTACAACCTGGAGAGGCTATAAAAATACTACGACCTAGAGAGGCTATGAAAATACTACAGCCTGGAGAGGCTATGAAAATATTACGGCCTGGAGAGGCTACGAAAATACTACAACAATAAAGAAGGTTACCTACCTTTAGAAGAGGCTGGCTGAAGCCTTAAAATATCAGTCCAGCCTGGAGAGGCTACGAAAATACTCCCTCTTAAACAAGCTACAAATAAAGGGACACAATATCACAAGAGAAACAATGGAGCTTCTACTTGAAGACTGAAGATCAGGTGTACAGTTTGTCAGCCTTGTTACCCAATAGAGTACGCAACCAATACTCAACTTCTCCAAAGGGTGAAGATACGAGCAAGTAAACCTATCCAAGGGAAGTAATGCAGAAGCGCCAGCACAAAAGAGACGAAGAGAAGACCCAGACGAAATTTCTACGTCTTTACTTTCCTTTGGAAAAGAAGCACAAAGCTATTCCAAAGGACAAGTAAAGAGGGGCAGTTGTAGACACTCAATTTCGCTCAGGCTCACAAAAGAAATGAAATAGAGTCTATTATCAAGGAAAGGAGCTCCCGAAGCATGGAAACAACAGGACATGACATCAAAAGACCTAAAGTCTAAATAAGCTAGTTTTAGTAGCCTAGAACGGGCTATTCCAAGACCAGAACGAGCCTTTCCCAAGACCGGAATGGGTTGTTACCAAAACGGAACAGCCCGTTCCAGAATAGGTTGTTATAAGCAAGATTTGAACCTAGAATGGGTCGTTCCGCTTTAGGAACGGGTCATTCCAGATTCTTATTTTACCCATAACAGACTTGCCTAGAACAGGCCATTCTAAATCAGGAACGGGCCGTTCCAAATCATCAAATGGCCCTAAAACCCTAGTTTGGAATGGGCCGTTTCGGAATAGCTTGTTGTAAGTAAAATTCAAACCCAGAACGGGCCGTTCCACTTTTGGAACGGGCCATTCCAGATTCTTATTTTACCCATAATAGACTAGCCCAGAACGGGCCGTTTCGAATCCAGAACGGGTCGTTCTAGCCCCCTTCTGATGCCTATAAATAGACATCTCGGGCACAGTTCACAAGGCCACAAAAATTTCATCTAGGACTCCTTAGAGCTCAAAATTTCTCTCTCTCTCCTATTGTATTTCTTGAGTATTGTGAGGCAATTGTAGTGTGAAAGGTTGCCACAAAGCACCTAGATTTTCCATATTTGAAGATCTAACAAAGCTTGCCACGAGGTATTTCATTTAATCTTCTTCTCTTTCTTTTATTTCTTATTTTTTTGTTATAACAAAAGAAATCATGTAGACGTTTTAGGGTCAACCGTGTAATTTAAATTTCAAACATGTAAATAGTAATTCATAAAGGGGATCTAATATTTAATTTATTATTTCTTATCACATTAACTTCATTATAGGGTACCGATTGAGGGCGTTGTAGGGGTGCTTAATACCTTCCCTATACGTAACCGACTCCCAAACCCAATTCTGGTTATCAAGGCCATTATTGAATTTTTAAAATACTTTTCTTTTTCTAATGTTTTGAGTAAAACATTGGTGGCGACTCCAAGAACCTATTTTCAAAACCATTAATTAAGGATTAGTCTAGTGTCCGGGCATTCCTTAATTGATGAGATCTTTAAAAGGATGCCTAAACCATTAGTCACGAGATCAGAAAATTTTGGGTTGTGACAATACAAAGGCTAAATAAGAATACAAAATAAAATCCTAATATCTAATGTGCCTTAAAATACAAGGGCAAAAATGTAAAGGGAAGCAAAAAGCTAAGGAGAGGGCCCAAAATCCACACACATGATGATCATGGCTTTTGGTGTGGTGTTTTCTTCATCTTCCTCTACTCTCCTAGCCATGGACCTTGTGGTAGGCCCTATATGATGTCTCAAGGATGATCCTCCATCATGAATGTAACTCCATAAGGGACTTTACGTTTCTAATTGAGAATGGCAAGAATTATTTTAGGTTTTTCTACTCCCTATACATATATTTGTTGCATGAATATCTGGGTATTGTTTGCATGAGAATCTTAGGTTTGGAGATCTTTTTGTTTTTCCATTGCATAGAATTTGTTGTGTCGTGCAAGTGTAGTAACCTATTGGATCATTATATCCCTATAAAAGAGCTTTTTCAATTGGAAGACTTCATTTTGTGCCCTTTGAATGGAGGATATGCTCTGCTTGAGATCTTTATTGAATTATGTTAAAGGACTTAAATCTTATGCTCAAATTCAAACTATAAATAATTTTGGCTACCCCACATTTAAGGAGGCTTATTTTGCAATGAGACTCTTAAATGACGACAAGGAGTATATAAATGTGATTCTTGAGTCAAGCAATTA